CTTGCACAGTTAACAATCACAGGGTTCCTACACTATTTTGAGGAAACAATATCCTGACTTTTGCAGGTTTTTCCTGACCTTTTACAATAAAATTCCTGACCCGCCGTTTCCCACTCCAACAAAACTTTTAACATTGCAGTTTCAATTAGTAATAATATGCTACTTAGTCATAAGTATCATAGATTGAATAGGATAAACACTTATATATTAAAGTGGAATTGCGTAATAGCACTTTATATCCCAAATTATATTTTCAGAAAACTTGTGAAACATATTTTTAATTATCATGATTAGATTAAACTTTTAGTGTGTTTTTGTAGTTAGATACGAAAACTATTTAAATAAAAAGATCAAGAAAATCTGTTGGATTATGGAAATATTATTTTATTTAATGTTAAGTGGAACCAAATGCATGAGTGTCGTCAGGATATAAAGGGTTAATCAAATCTGCGAGATATGTATCAGTATCCTCAAATAATATTTACTCTTAAAACATACTAGAACATTTGTTACATTAAAATATTAATTTTTAAAAATCACAATTTCACTTAAAACTGACTTTTCTTTTAAAAGATAATATTGAAATATAAAGGGGAAAAAAGTCAAGAAAAGTTAATTATATACAAATAAAAATTCATATAGAAAAATTATGCAACTTGTGAGAAAAATAAAATCATAAATATCTTTTTTTTTTCAGTATTTTTAAATTTATTTCTGTAATACTGTAAGCTTCCGGAGAAACTCAGGGGCTCCTATGTTATATAATATTTCTCAACATATTTTGTTGTTTGACAATTTCTGAATCAAGAACATCCAGTTCTGTTGCAGCAGTTTTCGTCAATTTAGATTTTCTTAATTTCAAATCCTCTATCTTTTCTTTTATTCGTTTTCTAGAAATTTCAGCTTTTTTATTCTCTTCGTTTTTTTTTTTTTTTGGCTTCTAATGCATGTCTCCATCTTGTTCTAGATCCTTTTACAGCATCTAGCATTTTCTCATTAATGTCTATGTTTTTTATTCCATTTATAAATGAGACATAATCATTAAAGCCCGGAATTTCAGGCAATAAAAAATGCAAAAATAGGCAGGCAAAAAGGCATTTAAAAGGCTTGAAATAGGCACTTAAAAAAGGCACTTAAAATTGGAGCAAAATGTTAGTTGGTAATGCCTAAAAGCCCATATAGGTATCCAAGGTATAAAAAAAGTTGCTAGAAGTATCCGGTATACCTATTCATTTTACTCGACTGTCGTAGCAATAGTACAAAAGAAGTGGACATAATTGCACACAAAAAAAAACCCTCAACTGCGTAAGTGTGAAATAAAAATTGAAAACTCATACTTACAATAATATTGTATGCAAATTTATTCTGATGATTGGTTGTAGCTGCACATCACAACTAGATGCTTTTTCGAATTTTCAAAAGAGAAATTTTGTCTCCTGTCAGTCAATATAGTTTTAAACAAAGAGAAGGATCTTTCTACTTCGACAGAGGTTATGGGCGCATACCTAAAACAACTTACCATGGTAGGAGATATTGCAAGTTCAACTGTAGTATCACCCGAAAGTACTTTTGCAATGTCCTTGATGCATTCAAAGTCTGTATTTGCAGAGATGACGCTTTCACATTTCTTCCTTATTCTGTCAACAGCTGGTTCAGGCACAGACATTAGTTCTCCAATAGTATTGTCGAAAATGCTTAGTGACTCGGACAAAGACATATTTCTTTTTTCCATGTGTTCAATAGCTCCAGGGCTTCCCAAAATAAGTTGAAATAAAAGTCAGTTCATTTTTTATTTTAGAACTGCCATGCAGACTTTTACTTTTTCTTATGGATATTGCCTCTTCATCCGAAAAGCTGGTAAGGACTCGAGTAACTTCCTCAAAATTTGTGCAGTAGTATGAGACTGCTGAAATCCATGTTCCCCATCTCGTAAGCATCGGTTTATGTTATGTTGTTAATTTACGTCGCACTAGAGCTGCACAATGGGCTATTGGCGACGGTCTGGGAAACATCCCGGAGGATGATCCGAAGACATGCCATCACAATTTTGATCGTCTGCGGAGGGGATGGCACCTCCGCTTCCGTAGCCCGACGACCTGCGCGCGAAGTCGAGCACTTTACGGTAGCACAGTTTAACGAGGACCAATACCGTACACCCTCGGTCCCTACTCAGACTGATCAAAATGGTCACCCACTCGCACACTGACCGTAGTCAGTGATGCTTGACTTCGGTGATCTGCTGGGAACACTGCGGGACTAAGCATCGGTTTAGGAGGTAATTGAATGTCTGGTGCAATTTCTTTGAACACTTGAACTCTTGAAGGGGCTTTTACAAATACTTTTTTCACACTAGAAACAAGCGAGTCTACCTCAGGATAGAGACCTCTTACTTCCTCTGCTATCCTGTGCAATGCATGAGCAAAGCACGTTAGATGGATCATATTAGGAAATAAAATTTTTAAGGCATTTCCAGCTTTAAGTGTATTCTGTATTCTATTCTCTATTCAAACAACACTGTCAATCTCATGGACAGAAAAATGTCTTTCACCTGCCTTGCTCACTCAAGCAAGAGTACCCTATCAGCTCAGATGAATAGCCATTGTACAGTGCGAGGGGTGACCACTGCCTCAGAGGGAGGGAGTTGTCCCAAAAGGAATAAAGTCCTAATCTCTATAAATGCATTACAATACGTCGGATGACAGTCAACCATTTCTGTACTTCAAAATTTATGCTCGGTCAAAAGCACAAAAAGCTTTGCAGAAAAATTTTAAATTAGACAGAAATAGGCATTTATGAACAAAAGGAAAGAAAAAGGCATTTTCAGAAGAAAACGTTTAAAAAAGGCAGAAAAGGGCATTTATGGCATTTTGCCTGAACTTCCGGGCTCTAATAATCATACACACGTCTTTGTGAAATAATAGATTCTTCATTGAGGTTTTCAACCAATAAGCTTTTATTGATTGAAAAAACCCATTCGACTGTTGCGTTACCATGAGAGAGGATAGAACAATTTTTATAACCTCCCACAAATTTTCAAATTTTTTTTCTCCGTTCAAATATTTCGTAAAAAATTTATCTAATCTCTGTTGCTGTGGATTAAACTTGAAGAAACTCTTTTGCTCTTCTTTTTTTTTTTGGCAGCATCGCAAAACAGTAAAAATTCCTTTTTTGCTTTTTCTGCTGTTGTTTCAGCTACCCAGTTATTAACATGGCGAATTTCCAGACAGGTATTCATCCTTTGTTGAGCAAAGGATGGATGTTGAATGATCAATTCTGGAACTAAACTTGAAATGCCACGAGTCATACTATACAACAATGGACTTTTTTCTAACTTGAAATATCGCTTTTCTTTCTCACTAATTTTTTTTATCATGTTCAGATATTTACTTGCTGCAAAACCTATATTCACATTATTAACACTTAATAGATTATCATTGCTTGTTAAGTCAATACTTGCTATTTTTTTTTTTTTTTTGCAGTTGCAGCATTGTCTATAACCGACTTTTTTACACAACGCACAAAAGATTATGTGTTAGTTATGCTGGAATATAAGAATGGACTGAGAGGTTTGGAGGTCTGAAAATTTAAAAGAAAAGGTTGAAATTCTTCAGAAATTAGCTTAAAGAATGCTAATTTTAGTAGCATTATTGGATCCTTAACACAGTCTTCTACATTTTTTTATTGAGATTCCGGCTAGCTGAGAATTTTTTTTCTCTTCTATGTACCTTTTAATGTTGTCAAAAATTAATATGGCATGCTCCACACAAGGAAGATATTCAAGCCACCTGATTTGGCAGAACTTTTTTGGAAAAATGTTGCTACCAGATATGTCAGTATACTCTGCTCGTCTAACAGGACTATCTTTGGAAATATAGTATATTCCTCTCAGAAACTGGGTCACCTTCCATCCTATTTTATTGTGACTTATTTGAAATGCACCATGGATAACGTGAAGGCAACATGATCCAATATTCACCATCTTAGAAGCATCTTCATTTAATTCAATGCATGATTTTAAAAGTGTCAAAAACTTCCAATTCACAGCAAGACCATCCATGCTTACTTGCAATATTTTCTCAAGTGGAAGTGGATTAATACAGGCTTTAAAAATTTCCAGCATATTCTCTACAGTAGACTTTTGAAGAAATGCAGAATTCAAATATCGGGTGCAAACTTGTTGTTTCGAATCACACCAAAAATGAATGTGCAGATCCATTTGTCCCTTTTGTGCAATTTTATTCAGTGCTTCGTCAAAACAAATAACAAATACTTTACATATTGAAAGCTCTGCTGTTTTTGCAGATTAAAAATTCAATTAATCATTTTATTTCAGAAGAAAATTCAACTTAAATTAAACGTATCTTGAAAAATACTGAAAAAAGTAAATATTGGTTAAGACAAATGTTCCATGTGCAAGAAAGAGGAAATTTTCTCAACTGTTGTCTGTAAACCAGTTATTCACACAAAGAGCAATAAACCTAGCAACCCTATCAAAAATTCCTTATCATTGGATAAACAAGAGGAAAATTGCTAACAGGACAGGTTCTACCAGGGAAAGAGGAATGTTCTTATGAGGAAATTACATATTTTGAAATACAGAATTTTTCATTAAAACTTTATTTTTGCCTGTCAGTCTTTGAATGAACTATAGTTTTTTTTTTATTTTCCTAACTTTATGAATTTGTAAGAAAAATCCTGACTTTTTCCTGACTTTATGAATATGTAAGAAAAATCCTGACTTTTTCCTGACTTATTAGCTTAATTTTAGAATATCCTGACTTTTGCAGGTTTTCCTGACCGTGTAGGAACCCTGAATCAGCAGTACACAAAGATAATCAGTCTCCTGTTTACAAAATATGCTCAATAATGATGTCTCCCACTGTTTGTTATCATGAAATAGAGAAAACTCTCTAAATAAAATTTTTATAAAATTGTAAAACCACACAAAATTTTCAGTCATAATTTAGATGAAAGATCAACACATGTCTAATAATACTCACATCATAACCAGGTGGTGCTGGAATGCTTAAATGCTGAAATGGAGAGGTGCATAATATCTCTGGAGGCATGGTGTCAATTTCAGGAGTCGTTACGCGGGCCTTTTTTGATTTAGAAGGTTTCTCATCCTATAATGAACATTATCATTTTAAAATTTATTAAACAGGTAGAAAGCTGAAAATATGAACAGAAGATGTGCATCAGAATGCATTCAAAATTTTCCCTTATCTAATTTATGACAAACCAGATTTTCAGTTTATATTTTCACAAAACAAGCAAAAATTTATATTTTTGTATAATTCTACATTAATTTTGTATCGAAATACTTTGCAGAAATTTATTACAATTCTGAGACATATTATTAGACTTATGTTAGTTAATGTATTACAAACTACTTAATTGCAAGAAAATAAGACATCTTAATGCCTAACCCTACAGCAACTTTTCAGAAATGAGGCAGCCCAAGAGGGTACTAAAACCTCTACTCATTTGTATTTTTCCCCACTATAATTGATCATTTTGCTTCGATTTTTTTAATTGCGTACTTATATCAGCATTTTACTTAAGTAAAATTTCGTTTTATTTTGAGAACACTTTCTATGTACACTAATTTTTATAGCAATGAGTGCATATAAGGAAGAGTCTAGTACTCTAGTACATACACTTCAGAATTTTTTTTTCGAAGTTTGGAAAATAATCAAAGGTAGAACACTGTTTTACATCTTAAATCAATAGATATTACTTCTTGGACAACAGTCATTTTGAGTTCTTTTCCATTAAAATAAATAGTTGATAGAATTTGAATATTCATGTAATAAAAACTTATTTCTCATGTATCCCTCAAAAGTTCATTTAAAACATTATACTAAAGAATATTACATTGGAATATTTCAAAAATGTATAAGTTTTCTAAGAACATAACGATATTTAGATAATGAGAGTTGTAGCCCACATGCCTCGGATCTGTTCAAGGTGCAACAAGCATACACTTTTTTTAAAATTTTATCAAATTTAACAAATAAATTTGTTTTGAAAAATTGGTATTTTAGTTTAAGAAAATGAAAATTTGATATTTGGGTGATTCTCTGAAAACATGACAATTTGAACCAAAAAATTTCTTCAAATTTAAAGTCTTCAAAATAATCAAAAAATTTTTATTGTATACTAATTCAGTTACATTTATTAATATCTTACAGACAGCAGTGTAATTTATTGACATTTGCTCAAGAAAAAAAAAATAAAATAGAAATTCACCAAATCTTGAATGCCAGGAAAATGACATATTAGCTTAGAAGTTTAAAAAACAGTCAGTTTAAGCTAATAGTAAGTAACTCTACTTAAGCCTTTATGTTAGATGGACCATAAGTTGCTCAAATTAAATTTTTTTTATCCACTGTAGAAACAAATGAAAAATGTTTTTATTGCTGATACGTACAGAATAAAATTGTGTATGATAATCAATCATTAAATAAATAAATAACTTTGAATATTACAATCATACATAAACTTGGTATTAGGTTAATATTTGCTTTCCCTCTTTACAGTATGCCAATTGCCAGACCATACAGTAGATTGGAAAGGGTTGAATAGGGGGTAACAATTTTATTTTTTGCATATTTCATCATATCTTGAGAACTTTTTAAGCATAGCTTGCACACAATAACATTTATTTGACCAAAGACAATTCCATGCTAAAAATAATTATTATATTCATTTATTACAATTTTACATTCATTCATTACAATTTTTTATGTGGAATTATCTTTGGATAAATGAATTTTAAAACTGGATGCATAAATGTTTTGATTCCCATAAAAATTTTTGAAATAAAACAAAGTAAATGAAGGAGTTGAATGTTTTGACCACTTCCCTGCCTGAACTAAGTTTTCTAAATTGCAGCTACCCTCCATATTTTGACTGTCACTAATCCTAATATATATGTATAAATGTTTATTTTGAGAAAGTACGTTTTTGTTTCTGATTTCATAACTTAGAATATTGTCTGTTCACTAATTATTTAGCACATTTAAGTTTAGGCTCTTAAAACTAAGTGTTAGTCTGTTTCCACAGCAATTATCCTTGAAAATAGTTATTTTTGTAATGTTGTTCTTGTAATTGTTGCCTCTGAACTAGGAATTTCAGATGGGAGTGTTCACTGCATTCTTAATGATGATTTGAACATGCATCGTGTTAGTTTGCACATATCTCCAAAACTGTTATCACCTGAACAGAAAGAAGTTTGAGCGAAAAGAATAACAGGGATTTTATTGACATGGCTGATGAAGCTGACAGCTTCTTGCAGAAAATCTTAAGAGGTAATAAGACATGGTGCTTTTTCTACGACCCTCAGACAAAACGTTAGTCAATTGAATGGAAAGCAAACACATCACCAAGATAGGAAAAATCTCGATCTGCCGAAAGCTGGGGGACAGTGGTGCTGGAGGCGCTTTACGATTACGAGGGCATCATTCACTACGGATTTATTCCTGAAGACCAAACTATCAATAAAGAACTTTACTTGGAGATCCTTAAACAACTACAAGATACAATCAGACGAAAACCTGAAAAATGGGCTAAAAATTTATTTTACTTGACAATGCTCTCCCACATCGCTCTTTGATCATGAAAAAGTATCCTGCCAGACACAGTATTACTACTCTGGAACACCCTCTTTAATTTCTCGACTTAGCACCAGTGAATTTTTACTTGTTTTCACTGCTGAAAATGAAATTGAAGAGACACCATTTTGTGGATTCAAATGAGATGATTGCAAATGCGACAAAGCAACTCAAGGACCTCTCAAAAAGTGGATTCTAGGAGTGTTTTGCACAGTTATACCAATGCTGGAAGAAGTGCGTGGATGCAAAGGAAAGTACTTTGAAGGCTCTTAAAATAAAATAATTTTATTTTTTAATAATTTATATTTGACCTATTATGGGAACTTCTTGACTCTACAACGTATTTACAAGAAAGTCAAAACTTAATTTCTTAGGCCTTTTTTCGAACCTTTTACTTAATTCATTTACAATTTACTAATTCAACTACTGCTTCAAAAACTAAACAATATTTCTTTTTTTAAAAACTATCATGAAAAGAAAATGAACTAAAGGTAGGTTTTTTTAAGTTTAAGGTAAATAAATTAATTTTGATTCTAGAAACAGAAAGCAATTATTAATTAACTACTGGAAATGAATGCCTGATTAAAAAAAAATATTTAAAAAACTGAAAACCGAAATAGTAATCCTAAAATTTTACTAATGGAGAACATTTTAAAAATACAAGGATGATTGAGACTTTATAAAAATCTGGGATGGCAAGCTTCTTCCTTAGTGTAAAAAACCACCGGGGAAAAAATAGGTTTCCAAAATAGGTAACAAATGGACGAACTTTTAAAAAACAAAATATGAATTTCAATGTTTTTTGTATACAAAACTAGTTTGACATGGATCTCATACATGGCATAGACATAGCTGCCAACCTCTAGTTATAAAAATGCAGAAGATAGACAAAAAAAATGCAGAAGAAGTGCCTAAAAATGCAGAAGATTCGCAAGCACATACTAATTACCAATAAATTTATAAAAGAAGCGGATTTTAATTATTTTAATTATTTATTTATAAAGCCACTTAATATTAGCAAAAAAAAGCAATACTCATCTTTTTTTAAAACAAAAAAGGAAATATCTTTTAAAAAAACTTTTGACCAGCTACTTGATGGTACAATATTCGATTAAAAATGTAGTTACGGCCCTGCCAAACGCTGTTACAAGAGGAACAGCGACGTCTGACTTAAAGAAAATACTGGCTATCAGGCAGATGGGTATAATGCAGAAGATCTTATCTTCTGCGCATAAAAGAGGAAAAAATAGCTAAAATAAGTAAAAATGCAGAAAGCTTCTGCAAAATGCAGAAGGGTTGGCAGCTATGCATAGATTGTGCATTAAAAGTGTGGCGTGATGTGGGACTCTTTAATTCACAGAGAGGAAGCGGATCGGCAGAATTATGCCAATTAACTATTAAAACTATACATAGAAAATAAAACGGAAGTTATATAACATTAAAATATTGGATAGTTTAGTACTGAGGATGTTAATGCAATGGATTTATAATATTAAAAAAAAGTAAATATCATGTGAAAACAAAACCATTGTACACAATTGAAGATTATTAGAGAAAAATTCTGCTAATTACGATACATCTCCACCATTGAAGGTTATAAGAGTAACAAATAAAAGCCTGGCAAGTGGAGACAGATTGCATTGCAACAACCATAACCGGGAAAACTCACTTTTCCCCCCGTTATACTTTAATTTCCTTTTCCCCCATTTTCCTTCGCTATTATAAAATAAAATTGCGAATCAGAAAGAGCAAAAAAGTGCCAAAAAACTCAGATCTGATTATACCACAATATATGAAGCAATAGTTTCTTAAACCTTCAAAAATTCACCTCTTCTTTAAAAAATAATTTCTTTTCAATGCTTTTTTGCTTAAAAAAGTTGCCAGTCACTCAAGGTAAAAAAAAAGTCTCAAATAGTTGCCAGTGGCAAACCTAAGGACGTTTACTTTTTTAGCGCACTGTACAATATTCTCCCCATTTCAGGAAAATAATGAAAATTTTTAAAACCCTCTGAGCTTTATTCCTGGCTTTTCTCCAGCTTGAAATTGGTGGTTTTCCTACATGATAAAACCAGCTTTCACAATGATAGTTAGGAGTGTGTAGTAAAGCAAGTAAATTTCAGTACAATTTTGCCCAGGAGCTCAACACTTGGAGGATTAACACAGACACGATTTAAAGAAAATAGAATCCTCAAGGGCCTCTTGAATATTTGGGAACATTGAGCAGAGCCCATGCTTTGTAATTGCACTGTTACAGTGAATTAAAACAGCTCCAGTAACGAATTTATTAAAAAGCTCTAATAAATCAACTATGTAAACTAATTCAAATTAAGTCTTTTAACATAAAGAAATTAAATAAGTAAAATAACATAAACCCATTAATCAGAGTGAACTGGATTAAAAATCAAGCAAATATGCATAGTTATTAACAGAAGTAGCAAAATGAAATTTTTACAAAAATGTATTCAAATACGTAGTTGAAAATTTTTCTTTATTCAAATAATTGTTATAAAACAAAGTCGGTTGCATAAAAATTGCAGTCATTCATGTAATGAAATATTTTAGATCAATAATTAAGATTACTTATTTTAGACTAATTAATCTCTTATAGTTATTAAATCATTTATAGACTAAGATTTTAAGTTCAGTTCTTTTCAATTTAATGAAGAAACTTACATAATGGCTAATTTAATTTAAATTAAGTTCAATCTTTTTCAATGCAATCATTTTAACAAATAGTTTATGATCAAATTGAAAATTTCAAACAAGTAATATAATATTTTGTTTACATTGGTACAACACTAAAATAACAGGCTTAATTAGATAGTTTAAATAACTAAGATTGCTAAATCGATAATTCAGATGTATTTTAATTAAGCTAATGAGAAGAGGCACAAATACTTCAAAACGAAGTTTTGGGTTAGTTACAAGAAAATTACAAATATTATTTGAATGAAATATTGACTAATCGATGAATTTTTTAAATAATGAATGAACATTTACATTAAGTTTAATACTTTTAAATTTAGTGAAAATAAAATTCAGAATGACAAAAATCATGTGATCATAAGAATATGCGTAAAATGATAAAAATTAGACCCAACAAAATTCTTTCAAATCACAATTGTTAAACCAATCACATTAAATAATTAATTGAAAAGTTAACATTTATTTTTAGATAATTTAAAATAGGAAATTTTGTACCAAATGAAATAATTCTGTGATAGTTGAAACATAATTTTTTTTCTGGATCACAGTGAAAACTTTTTAATTGTCAGAATATAAAAAAAATATAATAGTAAATCCTACAGAGTATTAGATGCAGTTAGTGCTTATCACCTATAGTTAAATTGTTTCACAAGTTATAAATGTATTGCAAACAACTTTAATTTTATGAGATTAATATTTGCTTGACGAAAAGAGAAAGATAGGAAATATAATTCTACCTCTTCAGACAGAGATGAAGTTCCACTGGATTTACGCTTTCTGTTATTAACTTGGGGTGTTTCTTTATTTATCACTTTTGAGGTGGAAGCTTCAATATTTTGGCCAGTAGTTTCCTAGAAGAAAAATAAATGAAAAAAAGTTTTTTCATACATTAAAAAATAACTTCATAAGTTTAATCTCAAGTAAGTATTATATATTGATTGCTCAGAGTATAGTAGTTATGAATATTTATTTGAAGAAGAGAGGAATAGTGATAATGCAATTGTGTTAATGATTTTATTTTACCTCTTTAGATAGACATAAAATTTCACTTGATTTACTCTTTCTTATATTTACTTGAGAAGTGTTACTATTTATCACTTTCGAAGGAGAAGCTCCAATATTTTGGCCAGTAGTTTCCTGCACCAAAACTTCATTAGGAAGTTTTATCAAATTAAAAAAAAAACTGCATCACATAAGTTTAATCCAAGGAAAGTTTCATGTAACAATAGCCCATTGAACATACTAGAGTAATTGGCATGATGGAAAACGTAAAACATGTTCTCCAACATTAGCTACTAAGTCTACTATTCAGATAATCATATAGAATTATAATTATACATGAAAGAGAGCAAAATTTTGAAGGGAAGATAGGGCACGTCATAAGGATGGAGATTTCAAAGGTGCCAACTTTCCAAACAGGCTATCAGTAATCAGAAATATAAAAACACAGAAATACAGTTAGCATTTAGAAAATTTTACGGTGCATGTAGCAGCCATGAATGTGGACAAAAATATAAAAAAAAGCTGAACTTTTACAATGCAGTTATTGGGAGGAGTAGTGTTCGATATAATACAGTGATATCAATGAGATTTACAAAAGGGCAACTTTTAACTCCGTCGGGAGATTTTTTTAATTTATATCAAAAGCGACAGAAGCATTTAGACAGTGAAATTTAAAATTTTCTTAAATATAATTTTAAAATCCTTTGAACACTACTATATTAAAGAAAATCAAGCAATTATAAGAAGTCACAGCTTAATCATCAATTTAAATTAATTACCAGTCAACCATTTTCAATTAAGTCACCAACTTTCACCTCAATATCTTCTGATATTGTTACTAACAATTTTCGTCACTTTGACTGTTTTAATTAACCAATCAAACTTGAATGTATTTTTTCAGCAGCATCGATTGTATGCACTTTGTGTTAACCTTTCTTTTGCGTTCGTATATCGTGTATGTTCGTATGTTGTGCTATTAAGCAACTTCAAAAGATTTAAGTAACTCCCATAGACAAAGCTAAAAATAATTATTCTATCTTCTGTAAAAAAAAAATATCTATGCTGAACTTTTAAAAAAGAAATTAATAATGCACGATTTCCATACTTAATAATCAGTCCAAATTTTATAAAATACCTAGTTTATTTAGAATTATCACTTATGGGTCTAATACTTACTTAGCTAAACTTAATCACTATTTTCTCTGACTGCTTAAATAAAATTATTAACAATAATATTAAGGAATGTTTTTCATACATTATAACTAATAATCAACAATTTTAGATTTTATGAGACACAACAAAATTAAATCTATTGCGGCCTTTGATTTCCAAGATCTCTTAAATAACATTCCACTTTCTAAACTAAAAAAAATTTATTTTTAGGTATTACTATGTTTATAAAAATATCCTAAATTGCGAATTTGATAGCTGAGAAATTCTTATTATTCTGTGACTTTCAATTATTCTGATAATGGAAAACATTTTTTATTCAAATTGATGGAATACCACAAGGATCTAATTTTATGTCACTTCTGGCTAACTTACTTTTACACTATTAAGAAAAAAATTATTCACTAAATACCTAATGTGTTTTTAGTGTATTTACCCCACGAAATCAATATTGCTTTATAATCATGACAATAATATTAATTTTTTGAAATCAATTATTAAAAAAGAGGGAAATATCTGCATTGACATATACGATGAAAAGAATGATTTCAAGTTTAATATAAATAAACTAATTACATGAAATTTGTTTGTAAAAACAGATTTTAAATACAATGGAACCCAGGTTTTACCTAGTCACGTATGTCCTAAAATTGCCTATGCCCGATAATATTAAATTACCCCGAATTTTATATTATCCTTTTTAAGAAAATTCCACTTAGAATGTTTTTCTAATAAATTTTTTATGACACTTGCTTATAAGCAGTTTAAAGCTTTTCTGACATTCTTTCTATTCTATCTTATTGTGTTTCCATACCCTCCAACTTATGAGGATTTTGAAAATAATTCTTTCTAGTGGTAGCGAACCAAAGTAGAAATTTTTAAAGCAAATGGATCTCTCATAAAACTTTTATCAGAACTTAAGAATAAATATAGCCATATGGCCTGCACTTTTATAAGTAATAGTGGACAAGTTACGCTAAAATTAATTTTTTTTAAATATTAAGACATTAATTTTGCTACCGTCTGAAAAGAAGATTTCTGAAACTACGGAAATTCCGTAGCAGTTGGAGGGTATGTGTTTCTGTTGGTGAGAGGGGATTTCCTCCGTGAGTCAAAATCAGAAGGGTAGGGGGATGGGCAAAGCAGGGGGAACGTGGTTAAAGGAAATATGGGAGTTTAAGTAGCAAAATTTACAAGTGGAATTTTTTCTTGCAAACTTTAACTTTTGATTTTCGGAAATATCCAATCATTTAAAGAAGATGACACTAAACAAGTGGTTAGGTAATAATTTCTTTTTCTTGATTCCAGTGACCAGCAAGATGTGTCTTAAACAAAAATAACTGTTACGGAAGCTCTAGATTTGATATCTACAGTGTTAGACAGTGTTCCTTAAAATGCATTGAAAATGGGTTTAATAAAGCTTTTACGGATTTATTGTTTCTCGCTACTCAACAGGAAAATCAGTTATTTGGAAGTCTTTAGAAGTTGATGACACGTACATCGATAGTAAAACACACCCAGTACTTTTCAATATCTGATTTAATGCCGGCTCATCATGAGAGTGATGAAAATGATGAAGATAAGCAAAAAATATTGGAGAATATATCCACAATTGAACAACAGTTTGAAAGCTTAAAACCTCAAAAACATTTGTGAATATAAGCCATAAAACAAATATGCAAACAATAGTATGTATTGAAAGGGATATTGTTTAAATTGCATCTAAAAAACATGTAAGGATTGCATATGTGTCAATTTTTGAGAAACATATTTATATTTTCTTATTACCCCAATTATACGTTATCATGCTTTGCATGTATTTTAATGCTAGTTTTATAGAAAACAAAAAATTGGGGTACTATTCTTAATTAAATAAATGCATGTAATTTCTATTTATCGAAAAACCACCTTATTTTTATAATAATTTAACAAAAGATTTGTGAAAATGTAAAAGTTCAGGCCAATCAGACTACTGCGAGGCAACCACTTCGAACATGATATTTTGGCTGAAAAAACACTTTTCAAAAACTGGTGATTTAACAGCAGGATCCTTGAATAGTGATTTTAACGTGACATACGTGAAATTTTTTTCGTTATCAATAAGCAAATAAAAACAAAAGTTCCAGAAACTGGAAATAAATTACAGTTTTCTACTTCGTCTCTTGGAAGTTTTTGATTGATACAATATTGATAGAAATGAGATTATTGCTGTGGAGAAAGCCTTTAGGTATGATACAGAAAACCTATTATTAAATTGAATCGTTACTGAGAAAATTTAGAGACACACAAAAAATTCATAAAATTAAACAATCAAAAACATTCTCCGGCAATTAAAAGTATGGAAAGGATTGACCAACTAGCAACATAGCTGCCAACATGAATAGGAAAAAATCCAGTAGATTTTACAAAATAATATTAATTTCATGATAATTGTTGAATAATGTACTAAATATTTTACGCATAGGGAATTTAAGGGATTTTTATAGTCATCAAAATAGAAAAACTGCAATATTTTCCAGTTATGATTGACAGTAAACATTTAAAAATTATGTTTTATGTTTACTAATAATTTCGAATATTAATAGGCATTTAATTCATCAAACATAGTTAAAAGATTTTTTTTAAATAATTTATTAAGAGAGCTCTGAATAAAAACAAACGGAACATTTTAGAACAAAAAAAGTTTTGAACTGATTTCTATAAATGAGGTTCATTAAATTAAGTATTAGTAATACTTATTTAATTATTCAAGCAAGCAAGTAGTAATCTATACAAAAATTCTATTTAAATAGGGATTTTTTAGGAAGCTTATTCAATTTTAGGGAATTTTCTAAAATGTACAAAAACCAGGAGAATTTTAAATAAACCAGTAGATCAGGAGAAACTACCAAAATCCAGTAGTCTACTGGAAAATCCAGTAGAGTTAACAGCTATGTAGCAATTATCGAAACATTACAATGCAAAGAGCAATGGTTGGGAATGCTTGAACTCCCAGTATCTTCTGAATATACTGGGAGTCTGAAGATACAGGGATCTTCTGATGATACTGGGATCACAGGTCAAATAAATTAAGAAATATTGTTCAATCGTTATTTGTTTTAACTATTCTTGCTGACATCATATTTCTAAAATGAGTTTTAATGGGCTAACAGTGCAACTTATGGTCGTGACACGGAACTTAATAATATTTAGAGAAATATTAAAACTTTTTACATAACTATAGTAGCACAGAAGAACATGTAGATATTAGCTTTACCATTCTTGATTTTCTAAAACTCTCACTCTTCTCGTAAGTTTCTCACTTTTATGCAAGATGATTACAAAGAATTGTTAGGATTTAATATCTTTTTCGGAGACATAAAAATGGAATATAATTTTCTATAACAGGTGTTCAAAGTCTTGGTTAGATGAATGGAAAAGGAAATTTATGTGCTCAAAATAACATATTTTAAGAAACTTTTCAATTATCTAATCGAAAGTCTTTAAAAAGTATAGTATACTTTTCTTATTGGAGTGTGTAAATGAGCCTGGTACCCATCAACAAAGGCACCTTAGCAAGATTTTCTACTTATATTTCAACATATAGATTATTGAGCGATCCAAAAATCAATAGAGATACTGTAAAATTAAAAAAAAATTTAAAACATCTCTCACATTTGGCTTAGTTAATCGTAATTTTAGCCCCATCTAATGGTAGAGATTCAATTTCGGTTAAGACAAATATGGCAAAAGATATATTGGCAGCCAACAAGGATGAATAAGAACTAAATCATTATAAGAGATACATTTTGCCTTGATTTTTCTTTCTTTACAAACCATAAGTTTTGGTCTTTTTTTTACACCTTGCTGCAAAAACTTTTCAGATTTTCTATCAGTAAGAATTTCCTTGACAATATTGGAAAATAATCTTGACTGCAAAAGTGAAATGGAAAAAAAAAAAAAAGCAAATGCTGTGAATGATGCTGGAAAAAAGTAATGTAATATACTCTCTTAAAATATGAAAATACGAAATATATTTAACAAATCATTTATGATAACAAAGATACTCAATCACAACTAATTCCACTTTTAGGAAAAAATAATGTTCCAACTTTTGGGCAATCTAGGGTTACTTTGTAATTGTTTGATTCAAATAAAATTTTGCACTCAGTTTTTCTTGTTCATTGAATAGGAGGGAGGGAGAAGCGAAATTTTAACCTTTCGAAAATAGCATGTAGTTGAGGGCCACCCGAATATACATATATATATATACACACACCTAGTAATAAATTAATTACATTCCCTAATATATATTTTTTTTTTCATTTTTGCTTTAAAAGTGACTCCTTACAAATAAAACCAGTTAACTAATGAGAATTCTAAGAAAATCATAAGAAATCTAGGGTATTATAGGGTAGTAACAAATTTTTTAAAGAATTCAAAATTTTGAAACAATTAACAACCTTGTTTAGTAGCACACTTCGATTAACTTACTTATAAAATATAAATATATATATATATATATATATATATAACAGGGTGCGTAGCCAAATCTTTGAATCAAAAATAAGCACTTTTTAAAAAATTTTCAAGCACTCAAAAAATTCATATTGAATCAATGATATTATTGAAAAACAATAACTTTTCATGAACAGTTTTAGCATTAAAAAAAAAACTCAAAAAGAAATGGACGTAAATCGTAACAATCAGTACTTTCCCACATCACCGAGTGAATTCAACTTGACTCTGAACTCAGAACAAAAGCACTCTTACCCCCTACATCAAAAAAGTGTAAGAAGTAAAATGAAATAAACAAGAATAAAATTATACATTAAAAAGAAAAACATTTAATAAGGATCTGACTCTATCCAAATTGGAGCACTCGGGTTTCACTTTCGAGTGTGCGCGCATGCGCAAGTCATAACGTGGGTACGACATGAAGTTCGTGTGAATGATCACGTAGCAAACATGCTATTTTTCGCGAAATGCAGGGGATCCGCCAGATATCACCGAAGGAAGAAAAAAATTATTCGTGAAAAAAAGCACTTTTTAAAAACGCCAGCTGAAAAAAGCACCATAAAAGCTTTTAAAAACAAAATCTCCCAAAAAGCACCTTTAAGTACTTTTTACAAACGCTACGCACCCTGTATAAATAAGATGAGCAATAAAAATTTTTAAACCTGTGTAGATGCATATAAAAGCTGGAGTGACTGTTGCCTTTTAGTCAGAGGAAATGGAACACTTGAACGGGCAGTTTTGGAGGATGAAGATTTGCCTTTACTTTGACAAGAAGCCTTACTACTCTCACAGGAAGTCACAGTTTTACTGTTCTGACCAGAAGTTGAAGCCATACAGTTCTGCTTAGAAGTCGAAGCCTTGCAGCTTTGACCAGAGGTGGAAGCTTTACTGTTTTGACAAGTAGTTTCCTGTAATGGAATGTTTTTTATGACTTTGTTTCTTTATGCCCACATTATAATGCTTAAAGTGAGCGCTATGAAAATTTAAAATATATTTTAGACAAGAGAAAAGTATTGTGGATAGTGGAAACATTGTAATACATTCACTGAGTACAGGCAGATAGGGGAGGGAGAATTTTGAGAAGTGGAATAAGTGTTCTTCCAAGATGGTGTATTCAAGCATTAAGATCATGAATATCGTGCAATCACCCTTAAAAAATATCAAAAAAATAATATATACATTCCACTGTTGCATCAGGGTGTCCAGAGAGAAGACATTATCAAATTCCCTGTAAGTCCCAGAATTTCCCTGTATCGGGCAGATGTTTAATTTTCAATTTTATTAATAAGAAATTTTATAATCTAAAATATAATACAGTAGGGAACCGATAATCCGGAACGATCGGGACCATCGCTATTCCGGATAACTGATTTTTCCGGTTTTCTGAATCGCTACAAAAAGCCGTTTTTTTTATTGTTAAACCCAATTTAAAAAAAAAAAATTAGGAAATAATCTTAAAAAGAAAAAACGATGAAGTAATACAGTAATGATTATTTCTAAAATGATGGTATGGTAAACATCTTTCAAAAAAAAAATAAAAATCCTAAAATCTTATGAGGAAAAAAAATTTTTTTTTTTTAAAAATGGTGGAAAGATTTATCGAATTTCGTTCCGGTTTTTTGGTTTTCTGATTTCCGGATAACGGGTTCTGTACTGTACAACCTATAATTATAATATAACCTAAAATATAATATAACCATATTAACATTATGCATTTGGAAATAAAGTAGATATTATACGTAGTACTGCAAACTTATATTTCTCCTAGTACATAAAATGTTACATAACTTCAACACTGAATAAACAAATACAAGAAATCACTGTATCACAAAAACATTTATTCTCACATTATTTCACAAAGAATGAATCTGCTCTATTACATTACTAATTTCCTTAGTAGCATCTTCTTTGATTTTAGCAATTTTTTTTTCCAATTCTTTCTGAATCACTGCTGTTTTTTTCTTTTTGGCTTCAATAGCCAAATTTTCCTCATCTGCAAGTTTACATTTTTTTATAACTTCCTTCATCAATGAATGAGCATTTCAGAAGGAGTGCACAAGGGGTTTCGAAATTTTATACGAATTTACATTTTTTACCGTGGAAATAATAGTATCGTATACCATTCTTTGTGATATCAAAGTCTCTTCTTTTAAATTTTCTATCAAACATTGAGAGTTTACAGAGAAACCTCTCTCAACGTTTGCATTACCGTTATATAAACTCATGGTGAGTTTCATGACTTTGGTGATTTCATGGTGATCTTTGAGGAGTTTAAACACATCTCTCCACAACACATCGACACGACTGTCAGTCCTATTAAAATTTTTAAGTAGCTCTATAACAAGATTTTGTTTCAATGCACTTTTATATTGGCGCTCAGCTTTATCAGCTGTTGGCCCATCGATCCAAGCATTTTCCATGAGAATTGTAAGTAAATTCTTAATCCTTAACGAAGCCAAATCGACAACAATTGCCACATCTGGATCGAAGCATGTCACTGCCTTAGTCAGTGGATAAAGCAATGGTGATTTCTCAAATAATTTTGAAAGACAATCGTTTCTAAATTGTGACACTTCATTATCTGCAATTTTCTTTTCTTTGTTCCTCTTTTTTAAAGCATTACGTGCAGCATAGCCTAAATCAATTTTATCTGCAGGTAAAAAGTTATCTTTCTTGCTAAAATCTATTTTATGTAAGGAATTTTCTTTTATGATATTATCTTTAACAAATTTACTAATAATATTTAGGCAAATAGAATGCAAAGAACTATAGAGAAATGGAACAAGTGGGGCGTCTTTTTGGAATTCCTCTGAAAACGGCTCTACTTCAGCAATAAGGGACTAGAAAAATTGTAGTATTGCCTCTAAAAGTGGATCTTCAATAATTGCACAAACATTGATAAACGATTCAGTCCGTAAATTATCTTTATTCAGCTTCACTCCAGATATAAATTTCTTCAGGTGGGGAATCATATCTATGGCACGTTGTGCAACATCTCCATTCTGGAGCCATCGTACAGGACAAAATTTAATTGGAAATACATTCGAGCTCGTATATTGTACAAACAAGGCACGACGTGCCGGAACATCTTTAAATAGGTTGTACAGTGACGGCAAAAACTGAATCAATGACCAATTTGTCATCCTGATTCCTGTTTTGAAAGCTCCATGTAAAACATGCAATCCACAGCTGCTTATATTAAGAATGATTGGATGGCCCTCCTGGCTTTCATCTCTTATCTCGGCTTTTAAATCCTTAAAAAATTTATGATTGACGTTTGGGCCATCCATAGAAATTTGAACCATTTTTGATATATTCAAAATCGACAAAGCCTCTTTAAAATTGCGCCTAATTTCGTCTGCTGTGGTGCGACTTAAAAATGCGGAAGTTAAATATCTGGTGCAAACAAGTTCTTGCTCATTACACCAGAATCTTACATTTATGTCCATCTGAGTCTTTTGGGAAACCTTATTTAGAAATTCGTCGAATCCAACAGTGAAAAACTCGCTTTTCGAAATATTTGTTATTAGTTCTGTTTTGAAATATGGAGCAATACCATATAAAATAGAATATGCTATTTTACTTTTTTTTAGTTTAATGCTTTTGGCAATCTCGCCATCTGGAAATAAAAGCTGAAATAATTCTACATCCTTCTCGGACATCCTAACAGATTTATGAGTAACAACAGTGTGAAGACACCATAAAATTTCTGCTTTCGTAACATCATCTCTTAAAAGGAATGATTCAAGACCTTGTCTTGTAGAAGGGGTAGACAATACTGGATCATTTAGGGATTCGACAGAGCTGCTGCCACTTCCAATAGTTTTATTAGAAGACTCTATGCTTGGTGCTTTCCCATTGTCAGAAGTGAAAAATGTTAATGGTAATGTCCCTTGCATTGCTTTCATTCTTTTTACATGCTGTGCGCTTTTGGCATGGCTTCTAAGAGCCCGACGGCCCATATTACTTAGTGAAAATGTTAAATGGCAAACAACACATTTTGCTCTATGGATGTCTGATTCAACCTCCTTAACCCAGTCTTTGAATTCTGGATTATGAAGCCAATCCACTTGGAACCGAGCAGCCATACAATTGTTTTATCTGCAAATAGAATAAATATTCAATATAATGCTCATATATTGTGTGTATTGTATAATTTTAAATAAATAGCAAGAATTTAAAAAAAAATTAATCTGTAGTTTGGAGAATCATTTATTTTTTCTACGCTGCTTACTATAAAATGGACTACTCATTGCATAAAATGATATTTGTATATCCCTTGTTTAATACCACTCTAATATTCTTAAATTATTATTGATTTAAATCAATGTTTTTTTAATGATATAATGAAAGCAACATTCATGCGAATATTAATTTGCATGTATATTCTTTATATTTCTCTGGAGAAAGCATCATTATCATTGATATATTTTTTAAATTATATTTAGAAAAAAATCTATTAAAATAATTTTTTTAGAAAAAAAAATGATGATTGATTTGAATCAATAGTCTTTTTCTAATAAAATAATGAAAGAAATATGCTATTGAATACATTTACAGGCATACTGCATTTCTTATATGCATTAGTAAAATACCATCATTACCATTGAAATCATTTAATTATTATTGTTTGTATTTATTAATAAAACTTCATTTCATTCTATTGAAACTAAAACTATTTATATCTTATCATAAATATTAATTTTTTACAAAAAGTATGTTAAAAAAAAACAAAGCTTGGATTTAAAAAAAAAAAAAAAACATTAAGTTTTAAACAGTGGTTTGAGTAATGGTTTAAACCAGTCAACCCAACAATAAATTATTAAACGCATATTTACAATTTTAAAAGTAAATAAAATATTGATGGTTTCATGTAAGAATTTATTAAATTTTTCCTTGTCTTCAATACATAAAAAAAAAATTTTTTTTTCTTTGCTCATTCAGAGTGTTATTTATTAAAATTCTGTAAATACGTATCACTAAGCTGGATTTTAAAACTACGTGAGCACGAATTGTGAAAAGTTTAAGTTTTAAAAATTGCAAAAAAATAATCTTGACTAATGATTTAAGTTTTGCAGGAAAGCGAATCGTCATGCTTATCGAATCGTCATGCATGCGAATCGTCAAATTAGTCCTTGAAAATTATAAAAATAAAAAAAACATTAATCCCCCTTTCATTAAATTAATGAATATTTAAATATTAGAGATAATAAAATTAACGGCTGTAGGAATTAATTTTTAAGAACTGGTCAGTTTCCTGACAACGAAGATGGAAAGCCGTGAGTTACATTTTATACTCCTCAAGATTCTTACTTTTTTTTTATAGTTAAAATATCAAAAAAAAAAAAAAAAAAAAAAAAAAAAAAAAAAANAAATAATAAAAAAAAAAAAAAAAAAAAAAATTAAAATTTGCTGAAAGAAATTCAGAAAGAATATTAATTAAATAAAGAATTATGCCATCACGCGAAAATTATAAATTCAGTTTATCGAAAAATCAACCTGCCGTAAACGAAAATAAGTTAAAAAACACAAATTTATAGGAATAAAAATAAAATAAAGTTCATTAAATTGAAAATAAAATAAGTTATTAGGGGGCAAGAACAAAAATCTTCCATGCGGAGTCAATATTGCGCAATCGGAAGGACAAAAAATAGCTTTTCTGTTATAAATTTTTTAGAACTTATTTCTTAATGACGTTACGTATATAAGACCTTAAAAATGAAATTAAGCAAATATTTTAAGATAATTTTAAATAAATGCTTAATAGTTATAATTAAAAAAAAAATAAGATAAAGAACTTACCAAAACTCCTTAGAAACAAAGGCGAACACATGCACGATCCTTTTGACTCAGATGCAAAGCTGCATGTAGAAGTTCCACGTGACAATATCGGAGAGGAAATGACGTCAGCAACTTCTAGGCCACAGCTACTTACCGCACGGGAAAGAAAACTTGTTTGTGACGTCATCCATTACGAAGCATAGCGCCGCGGTTTGAAGCATTCGGCGATTGCTGGCTATTTGAATACTTTTCCCTGATTTACAAAGATTTCAGAAAAATTCCCTGATATATCCCTGATATTTCCATAATTAAAAAATTCCCTGATAATTCCCGGTTCTCCCTATCGCTGGACACCCTGTGCATGGAGACAATTTTCCAGTATGCAACCTATTGAGGTTTCAATAATTAGCAGCTAGGATACAAAATTAAAGTATTTTAATACATACAGGAGAATTTATTTATATTTTATTTCTAACAAAAATAAACTTATTTTGCGCTCAATTGTTTCTTCCTACTTCCAAGACAGGTGGATAGAAACTGCTTTTCGTTTTTGACTTTAAATTGCTTATACCAATAAAAAAAAATTTTTTTGATTTCATGCTTCTTTCTTTAGTAGCAATTTCAAAATGTATGCTACAAAGAAATAACTAAAAAATTCTTTGCACCCTCTGATACACATAGTTCTTTAATGAAAACACAATTTACGATTTCATTCAAAAAGCTTTATAAGTAAGTTTCCCTCCATTGATCCATTAAGTAAGAAAATAAATAAAAACCTACTGTATTTTTATTTTATTGTGTCTAATAAACACTGTGATTCCTTTTGCTGAAAAACACTTTGTTTGAAGTAATAATAAAAAAATTTGTGTGGTCAATATCACATTAATTTTTTATATTTTCATTGCTTTTAGACAAGTGGTCTTAAGATTCATTAACAATACATTTTCTATTTAGTTCTAAAATTTTTGTTCCTTTAACCAGCATTTACAATTTAGAAATTATTAAACATAAGTATAATAAATATGTTTTTGCTTTAATTTCAATTAAAACACTATTTATAATGAAGTTTCAAAAATCAAAGAGGTCTCAGAACCTTATTACCTAATAATATTTTGCAAATTATATTAAAGGACAATTACGTTTTTCCTTCTAAAAAAAAATTACTTTTTTCTACATTATTTTGTTTGTCAAAAAGAAAAATGATAATAATACAAATATGAAAACTAAGTATGAACTTAATACAATTGCACAGGCTTTAAAAAACAACAACAAAAACACAGAATCTGTAAGCCTGAGATATTAATTTTGCTAATATATGTTAAAAAAAAAACAAATCAATGATATATATAATTCAGAATTAAAAGCTTTATTACTGTTTTTGATCGAGTCTTTCTCAAGTTTTTTGTTTCAGTGCCATTTTGCAATTGTTTAGTAGAAGCACCTTTCTTATCCTACAAAGACAAAGGAAAAAATAACAATTAGTAGAAGACAACAAATGCATAGCAAAAAAAAATATATATATATATATGGCAAATGGAACTTTTTAAGCATTTCAAGATTCTTTCACAGAACTAAATAAATTTACATTGACTACAAATGAAATACAAATCTGTTTTATCAAGCCTTTAATCAGTCTTGCAGGATTTGCAATTTTCTTCCAGTTAAGAAATTTTTATTTTGAAAAAAATCTTATTCTTTATTTGATTTTTATAGACTGTCATGAGTTAAACAAAACAATAAACTGCAATTTCTCTTCTATATTTATCTTGAAATATTGCCCGCTCCCCTCCTCCTGCAAAAATCATCATTCTTTATTACATGGATAAGATTAAACAAATAAGACTTAAAATCTTACAATAAACAATTGAAATGAGCTATGAAAGCACAGTGACTGAGCCCATGCACATAGTCTAATTGTAAATCTAATCTAATTGTAAAGCTTTAACCTCTATCAACCTCCTAGCTCAGGGGTCGGCAACCTTTTGAAATGAAAGAGCCAAAAGTTACAATTTTACAAAATCTCCCGCTTTTAAAGAGCCACTGAAAATTTTTGATTTAATGCTATAATATTTTTTTATGTATATATGATTTTTAATTAAAAAAAAAACGGTTTTGAATACAGAATAATATTTATTCTTTATTTTTAAAATACACTAATAATTTTTTTTAAAATCTAGTTTTTATTTAATTTTTAATTTTTTTAACTTATTTCTTTTTTTTGGGGGGGGGGATAAGAATATTTGGGTCATTAAAATTCAATGAAAATTGTAAATTTTCTTACTAATTCTTGTCATATTTTCAACAAAAAACGCAATTTTTTTTTATTAAATGTGCAACGAAACACAATCTTATCAGACAGATTTTATAATAATTCTTTTTAATTCTTCATAGCAATTCCGTAATAATATTCATTTATATTATAGCAGAATTTTTTCACAATTTTCCTTTTTTAAGAAATATGTACCGTCTATTCTTGTTATTGTTAAAAACAATTTTTAAGCACTTAATTATTAAACATTTAAATAAATTTTGCATTTTTTTGTCAAGGCAAATGTTAAATCGACTTATGATGAAGTGCTAGAAACGATGGTCACATACTTTTTCTATTTATTGTAATTTCTATTTCTATTTATTTTCTATTTATTGTAAACTTTTATAGAGCCTCAAGCTTTCCAACTCAAATAATTTAACATTTTAAAAAAAAATTAATTTAATAAAAGTAACGATTTTCTATTATTTTAAATATCTTTTATACACAAAATTACAACATTAATGTATTTGATTGCTAAATTTAATAATATGCAGGTAATTCGGAATGACCGCTCTTAATATGCATTTAAAGAAATTTTATTTCAAGTGAACGCGAAAAACGAACGGATAGAGGTCACACGTTAGAATTTTAACAATCGAAAACAAACAAATCACTGTTGAGGAAGGCGAGTGTAAAAAGGCGATTAACGATTTTTTACCAAATTAAATAACTTTATAAATTAAAAACTTCAACATTCACCTGGCAATTAAACAGGCCTGTTATTATTACTATTATTATAAAGATTATATCAATATATTGCATTAGATATTTTTTAAATTTATATGCTTGTTTTTTCCCTTTTAAATTTTAATTTACTACATCCGCTGAAGTAGATTTTTATCTTTATTTTTGACAAGGTTTATAAAAATTTATATTAAGGGTGGTCTTTTCATAACATCATGTTTTACATGATAATAACATGTGATACACATCAAAGGCTTTAAAAAATGTAGATGAAAATTAAATTAGTATTTATTCATTAAACTGAAACATTAAACTGAAAAATTATCAGACATCAATTATGACTCGTGCATTTTTTTTAAACTCTTAATCTAAGTAGGATTCTTTCTGATGCATTTCAAATATTATATGCGTATTTATTTAATTTTAGTAATTTGATTTGCGAATAATTATTTTTAATGCTTATTTATTACTAAAATTTTATTTTTCATTTTCATTTAATAATTTTATTTATTTTTATTATTCATTTTATAATTTACATTGTTATTAATATAAGAGCTGTGACTAAAATCTTGAATGGGGATACAGAAATAGTTCTTTTTTTTCTGGGGGGGGGATGAACTAGTTTTGGAAGCACAGATAAATTTTTTCACGCATTCTTGCCTTAAATTTGTAAAATGCTAAATTTTTTATACGAATATTTCTTTATATAAAAATAATACTATATAAATAATAAATTAAACTTTTAAAAAAATTTAACTATGTATTCAAACATTGCAGCGTGATAAATCATAAATAAATATTTTTAAAATTTGATGATTTGTAAATAATGCTTTACCGAAGAATGTTCAAGTCTTTTTTTAAAATATTAAAAAAAAATACCCTTAAATCGCAAAAAAATTTTTTTTTCTAGTTAAGGTAGTTAAAGTACAATTTTGTTAATTATTTATTTTGTTAATTATCGTGCCTTTTAATACAAAACTGTGAATTGAGTTTTTACATAATTACAAAAATATTAAGTTTCTTTTTACTAATAATTAACTTAAACAAATGGAAAATTGTTAACTTAAATCTAAAATATAAATAAAAAACATTAAATACATACGAAATACATCAACATAGTAACAAAAAAGATAGAAAAAAAATTATTTAAAAAAAAACTGCAGCTTTTCTATTTTTAAACACATTACATTTTTAATAAAATAAGCATTAGTATAGTTTTGTTCATAAAGGATTGCAGTTTGAACTTATTATAAAAACAACTGCTACGAACAAATATAGAATTTGATTTTTGAAATTTAAATTAAATAAGATCTGTGAAAAATAATCTCAACTGAAAAAATTAAATTTAAAAATAAATTACTATTTTAAACACAAAATTAAAAAGCTTAGTAAATAACTATTTAAAAAAAGGAAAAAGAATTCCTATATTTAGAATTCAAATGTGATTTATCTGTTTCCATCTCAAGCTCCTACTAATGAATATAAATAACGTAAAAAAATTTTAATTGCTCTTTTTTCTTTCTTTTAATCATTTTACAGTGGAAAAGAGATTAAAATTTTTTTATCTACTTCATAAAAATCAATTTTTACCCATATATATTTTTTAAAAAAATTTTTTTTTTCTTTTTTGAAAAAAGTCTTATACCTAAATTTTGAAGCAATAATTGAGGAATTAATTTAATAAGAAAATAACAACATATTTAATGAAATTTAATTTTACCTTAATATTTAAACAATAAGACTGCAAATAGTAAATATTCATAAAAAATTTATACTTACATTCAATAATAATATTAATTTATAAGATATGCTTTGAGTAACTAAGTACTTGTAAACTGGTACTGGACAGTTAAAGACAGGTCAGTGAAGTAACTGGGGAGGTGAGTGAAAAGAAACTGGACAGTCATATAGAGAAAACCACAGCTGTATGTGCATTGAGCCCTTTCCTTCCCTTTCTTAACGACATGGACAAAGATATTGTCTTTATTCTTAGAAAGAGCAAGAGAAAACGTGAGAAAAAGGCATTTCTAGATAAATACTTTTAAAGCACCCTGGATTTTTCAAGTTGACAGAAATTTCCGGGGTTTTGTCTGCTGTTTCACAAGATCAGAGTCGCAGGCATCATCCTTTTTTTGTGCCTTTTCATGGTGTCGGTAACGGCATGCTCAAACAGACAACAGACTTGCCACTTTTCCGGGTGAATACTCGGAATCGAGTCAGAATGAGACACCCCTCTAACTGGGCTTAACGACAGGCCTGAGGGTAGCGGTTTGTAATTAACGATTATAAGAATATAAAGCTCTTGAGAAATTAGGTACTTAAAAATATTTTTTCTTATTTTTAAGGGCTTTGGTAACAATTTATTAATTTTTTCGTATGGAACTGGAGAGCCGCAACTTTACACCAAAAGAGCCACAGGTTGCCGACCACTGTCCTAGCTCATAATGAGCTGTTTTCCGAATGTTTTACTTTAATAATTGGATTATTTTTCAATTATGGGTTAATTTCAGCATATAAAAGAGAATTAAGTGGTTCTTTAAAAATTTCTTTTTTACTAATGTTATTTAAATAAATTAGTGCAGCTCACTTCTAACAGATCAGATTATTTCATTTATTTTCATAACAACATTAATTTATTTATAATTAGAGGACGCTAAGATTAATCGATATTTTCTCACATTTTGATCCAACAAAGATATCACCTTTTTTGATTTGCCCCCTTCTGAATCTGGGGAAGGATCATCATTGTTGTCATCTTCATCATCCTCTCGTATTTCAGCCAAAGGTCGCTATAAATTAAAAGAAAAAAATATTGATATTTAATGAGAGTTCTTCATAAAATTTTATATTTAAAATCTTAAATAATCTCCAAATTAAATACACAGTGTTTTATATTGAAGGGAATGTATAGAAAGCATACCCCTGAATGTTGTAATAACTTAACTTAGACAAATCAAACTTAACAGTGAAACTTAAGTTATACAGATGTTTTTGTGCCCCCAAATACTTATGCAATATTCCAGTTCCAGCTACACTTATGACAGAATATCTGTTGGTAATGATTCAAGTATGATAATGATAGGAAATGATTCAAGTATGATAATGATAGGAAATGATATTGGCATACTGTTAATAAATTGAGCCCTTCAATTATCCACACCTTCAGGTGATGTAAAAGTTGGGAAAACACTGTCTTTAACAAAACCTCATAAGAAAATTCATAAAGGGCTATCTCAGCAGCCAACAAACAATCTAAATCTGGACTCATACGTCCAGTTCATCAGAAAAAATATTCAAAAATAAATAAATAAATTTTAAAAAAAATCGCTTAAAATAAAAATTTAAATGCAAGAGCACAAAACCACAACAATGAAGCAATAGATGAAGAGGTAGGGGTGGGGAGTGAATGAAAGCTCATAGCTGATTGGGAAATTCTAGTCATTCTTATCAGCTCTGTATAGATAACAAAGAATACAAAGGGGAATCCCCTCAGGAGAGGGAATTTTTCTACCACCTTGTTTTTCCCCCTTGTGAAGAAAGAAAACTGGTTCTTTCTTAACCTTGAAGCTTAGGAGGCGGGGACAAGTTCTTTCATGCCCCAACAAAAAAAGGATTAGTATCAGCTGGTACAGTCTAGTTCAGAAGCATGTGTTTCAGTTGTAAGCTGAAATTCAGATCACGTTTTAAGCCTATATTTAATTGCTAATATTATGTTATCTAAACGATCGATTACGGGGGGAAATGTCTTTTATTTATTATTTAAACACGCATTTAATCGCGAAATCGGCCTGGCGAATTTGAAACTTCGATAATTCTATCAATTTAAGTAAGGTATGTAAAATCCGGACCTTCCACACCCCCCAGCAGTCCAGATTTTCGGGGTTGCACTGTAATATATGCTTAGCTACACAATAATATATGCTTAATTATAAAAGTAATTATAGTTGCCATTTAGTAAAAAAATTTCATAAAATTAAGTACATTAATACTGCCTCTTATGCAAAATAAATGTAAAAATTTAATTTATTATAAATTCAATACACAATATTTATTATAAATTTTAACAATACAAAAGTGAAAGAAATCTGGCAGTTGTTGGGTAAATAAAAAATGTGATGATAAAGGCCCAGGTAACATTTTTTCCTCCTTATTTTTTAATAATAGTACTGAATAAAGGAATATGCAAAAAATTTCATTTTTTGTCGAAAAAATATATCACGATTAAATTATTTTGAAGAACAACAGGGAAAAACTCCTTAAATTTAGAATTACATTATGCCAGTAAAAGGAATCTTTCTTTTTTACAAACTTCTTTTAGTTATGATTATTCTCTGAAAATCAAAAACATTTTTCATGAAACTGTTTAAAGTTACTGTCACTCAGCCAGTCATTTATTAAAAATATTATTATTACCTTTAATAAAGTTATACCATGTGAATTGAAATAGGAAATAAAAACCTACTTTGTTCAAAATGAAACCAAAATAATGACTCTTTTATTGCCTGTTTAAAGTCTTTCCCAATATATTTTTAAAAAAACACTGTGTTAAATGTTTTGTAAATACACATAGTTTTTAAAAATGTGTAAGTTCATAATTTATAAAGTAATTAAAAAATGAAAATAAAATATACCCTGAGTATACGTGGGTTCCAATGATCTGCTTTACGCTCTTCTATTGCTAGCTCAATTTCCTCATCTGTGTCAATTGGTAACCCCATGTCCTTACGGTCCTTTTTCTAGCAACAAAAAATTCAATTATAAAATGCATGTGAAGGAGAAAAGTTTATTGAGCAATTTATAAAACCAATAAAACTGAAACAAACAATATATAAATAAAAAACTACATTTCACATAAACACTGAACCAAGCAGGAAATAACAAAAATTCCTTTTTGTTGGGTCAGTAAAGATTGCTTGACAAAATCTCCTCAAAACAATAGAATTTTGTTAGTCACAGAAAAAACAATATATACTTCAATTTTACAATGCTTTCCCAATCATCAGAATCTCCAAGAATTTTCACAACAAATTTTGCGACAGGTCAAAACTGAAGTAGGATAAAATAACTAAAAAGTAGCACAGATAAAAGACAAGTTAACTGCATAGAATGGAGAATTATTTGAACATGCCATTCTATTTAAATTTCGCCTAGCTAGTTTTTTTTTCTTAAAAAAAAAAAAAAAATTACAGAAAAATATAATCTTTATTAGCATATTTTGTAGTAATGTCTGTTATCAAATTATTTTAAACTTTTATCTAAAAATTAGGTTATGCATTTGGACTACTTGCTAAATAAAGGAAACCTTTTTGCGCAAGAACTTTTATTTCATATATTTAGCATTGTGTATAACGGTTTAAGTTAAACATTTGATAATTAATATTCATATTATTTTGAATACTAAAAAGTATTACTTAACACAAAAAAATATGGTAGGAATTTCTTTATTGCAAAATACCTTATTATTTCTGTACATTAGTAAAATTAGTCTGTAGCTTGAATGAATAAAAAAAATATTTAATTAAAGCAAACTAATATACACTTTTAAGCATTTCTATAAAATGAAGTAAATTTTCAGAGGTTCTTTGTAAAGAAAAAACATGTCATTTAGGAAAGAAAAGGATTTGCTCAATTCATAAAAGGAAATCTAAAAATTAAGAGTGAATTTGTAAATAAAATACTTACAAGATCAATTAAATTCCAATATTTTTCATGAATAGTATTGATAGCTGTATAAAAATGGGGTTCAGACTCCTTAGCAGGCTTTGCAGTAAACTCATCTACTTTATCCAGGTATGGATGAATATTACGGATTAAAACTTGATTACTGTAAAAAAAAATACTTTTATGAGAGACCACCCCTTCAATAACAACTTTTTTAATGCACCAATTTTTTTTCCAATCCTTAATGTTAAAAAGTCCTCTAGGAATGACCAAGCAAAACTTTGTGAGCAGCCGATTATTGACCACCCTTTTAGAAAATGTTCCTGCCTTCCTTTTGTGTAAATTAAACAAAAAAAAGTTTCAAATCAGAGGGAGGATATTTCGCCTGTTAACTTTTTACTAAATAGTCGCAAGTAGATAATACAATATATTGCTAATATACTCTTGATAAACCCATTTGGTCAGAATGTTATAGAGGTAGGTAAGGGGGAACGACAAGCTGAAACAGTACAGATTCAATTCGGTGTCCCATATCACATTTCCAGTGTTATTCCAAGAAAAATTTGTTTCCAAGGGAGGTAACCAATTTTTCTGAACAGAATCCGCTTTAGAGTGGGATTAGTTTAAGTTGTACTTTTTTTCATTATATACCCCATTTTGTTACAGAGCTTTACCCATGTCTAAGAAACGAGTTATTTTAATGTTAGAAAAGCACATTGAAGTGATGGAGTCACACAAAAGAGGAAATTTGGTGAAAAAGTAGGCATATATTTTTGGTAGTAGGAAAACCTAAATCAATAAAATTTTTAAAAAATAAAGTTGCGATTCATAAAGAATGAGAAGACTAGAAGAATTGGGGTCTAAAAAGAATGCACAAGGAAAAATTTCCTGAAATAAACACATAACCTTACTAAAATATTTTTAAACTGTTTGTATAAAGAATATCTCAACAAGTGGAGCTTTGATGAAACAGGAAGCAATAGAGATAGCAGATACTCTCAGGATAAAAGACTTTTGTGCAAACAATAACTGGCTTGATAAGCTTCAAATTAGAAATATTGTCATGTTTCGATTGTTATGAGGGGAAGCTGTGAATGTTGAGAAAAACGTAATTGAAGACTGGATAAAGTGACTCCTATTGCTTTAATCTGGATATGCTAATAAGGCATTTTCAATATAGATGAAACTGGTCTTTTTTTATTCATGCCCTTGCAGATAAGAGCATGTTGATAAAATCAGCAAATACCATAGGCAAAAAACAAGCAAAATAGACAGTGACTTCAGCTTTATGTGCAAGTGGAACAGGAAAAATTAAATCCACTGATTATATAGAAATCCCAAAATGTTTCAGAAGCAAAGACACTACTAAAATTGGAATTCGCTGGAGGTCAATCAGAAAAACCTGAATGATTTATGCAATCTTTGAAGAGTGGTAGATGGATTTTGATAAAAAAAGATAGCCAGAAAAGAAGAAATGTTCCTCATGTTAGACAACACCTTTACACCAGAAAAATCAACCATTTGCTATGAAAAGTGCAAAATTGCTATTTTTAGCAAGGAAAACCCTTTTAACATTATTAATAGTTTAAGTTTGAATGTCATTGGTATGTTTTGCAGTTAGTCATTGAATGAATACTTCAGAATTAGCAAAGGAGAACAACTGATAAAGTGTAATGGCATAAGTCCAAATTTTTACGTAAAGGAGGATGGTCGCTCGCAAGAAGTTTCTGTGTAATAAGATTTAAAAATATATTTAGATTTAATCAAATTCAGGAATTTTACATAATATATACATTATAAAATGAAACTATAGAAAATAAAAACATATAATGTAAATTTACAAATATAGTGCAGATTTCGAACAAAAATAAAATTTTAATTTTTCTATGGGTACCTATTGAAAGAAATTTTCTATAGAAATAAAAAAAAAATATTTTGAAACAATCTCGTAAATATTTTCTACTCAACCTGTGAGAAAGCATGTGGAATAATATCGCACCCTATCCCTACAAAAAAGTGAATTATTATTGATTTGTGAAAATAAAATTCCTAACAGCATTTAGTATCTGACTTTCTACTTGCAGGGATGAGATTAGCCGAAAGGCAAAAAAGCTGAATTTCCACAATAGCAAATTTTACGCAAGCGCAACCCTTTAATAATAAATTCCAGACAGTTTAAGGTAATAAATAATGTGTTGACATACAATTGTGTACTAATCTATTATTATATAAATGATTACATTGATACTTAACATTTAGTGAAAATAAAAATTACCAATTGAAAAAATAAAGCTGGAAATTATATTTTTCCTCAGTTCACATAAGAGACAATTATTACTTGAAAAACTACCTGGTTTAGCAAATTAAAACTACTGAGAATATACATTAATATTTCA